TTGTTGGCCGAGTGACTGGTCTTGGGCACAGGTTGAACTAGCGAGTCGTAATTCGATGGATCGAGATACACGACTCGAGCAAAGATTGGACCTGTTGGCCGAGTGACTAGTCTTGGGCACAAGTTAAACTAGCGAGTCGTAAGTTGGGGAGCCGAACTGTGCGACTAGAGCAAAGACTGGACTTGTTGGCCGAGTGAATGATCACGGGCTCAGGTTTAACTGGCGAGTCGCAAGTCGGGGAGCTAAACTATACGACTAGAGCAAAGACTGGACCTGTTGGCCGAGTAACTAATCTCGGGCTTAGATTGAGGTCTGACGAGTCGCAAGTCGGGGAGCCAAACTGCATAATTAGAGCAAAGACTGGACCTGTTGGCCAAGTGAGTGGTCTCGGGCTCAGGTTTAAGACTGACGAGTCACAAGTTAGGGAGTCGAACTGCGCAACTAGAGCAAAGACTTGTACCTGTTGGCCGGGCGGGGCGCTGGGTGGCGCATCAGGGTGCATCGCGCCATGTGGCATGCCGAGTGGAGCGGCGCAGGTTCTGGCAGGAAGTTTCTTGTTATTAGTGATTTCTGGTGGGACGCCTCTCGTCACGAGCTGCTTCTAGTGAGAGACCTTTCGTCACGATGGCTTCTGGTGGGAGCTTCGAGACCGAAGAATCTGGGGAAATCCAAGGAGTCATGATGGGCTTCGAATGTTGCGACCATCTCTTTCCTCGAGGAGTCCAAACATCACTTCGCGGTGAGCTTGCTTCCACTTTATAAGCTCCTTCCAGAACAATGGCCACTACTTTGCTCAGCCTTTCATTCCGTGCCTCGGCTCCTTCGTCCTAACTTTGAGGTCATGATGTCTCCGTCTTCCTCTTCGTCTTCTTTCATTTCTTCCTTTTCATCTTCTTCTTTATCTTCTAAGGGCCCGGGGGTAGAGGTCGTTAGTTCGCCTTTGGGTGACATGCCCTTGGGGGCCGTCGGGGGTTCCGCTTTACTTGAAACCCTCAAGGTGTGGCACGATATAGACTCAATGGTGACCGAGGAACTCTTGGGGCAATTCAGGATCGCTACTGCATCCTAAAGTACTATGGTATTTGTGCCTCTCGGCCCGGTCAATAGCCATATAATTCATTTCCCAACAGATTTGGGCTTATCGTGGGTGCCCTCGAGGTGGGACTGCGGTTTCTGTTGCATCCCATTATTGAGGAGTGTCTCCGTAAGTGGGGGATATCGTCATCCCAGATGGCGCCAAACTCTTGGCAATATATGGTGGCTTTCCTTGTGGAGTGTCGGGGAGTGGGGATCGAACCAACCCAGACGCTCTTCCTGGCCTGCTTTCGTCTGTGTAAGGTGCGAGGTGAGTATTACCTAACCGCCCATAGTGGTTTTAAGATCAATGGCGCTCCTTCCAACAAAAAAGGTTGGAAGAGTCGCTATTTTTTTATCAATTGCAGTCAGGGGTGGAGTTTCAGTACCGGATGGACTTCACGAACCATCAACAATGTCCCCCCATTTCTGTATAATGGAGAAACAACGTAAGTGAATCATTTAAGGGGAATTCGGTCCTCCTCTCGAGCAATTTGGAAGATAACCGAGGAATGGCTGGTCGAGGTGGGACTAAGCCCAGCCACTTGGGGTACGACCACTCTTGCGTTGCGGATCGTCCACCTTATCCCGAGCTAGCTGATTGATCAGGTTTCTATTTGCAGATATGGTGAACCTCCAGTCGGTGAAAGGGGTGTCTCATGCCAAGGTCGTTGCGCCGTTGTTTCGGGACGACGAGGGTTCTGGTGCTAGGGGTGCCTCGTAGAAGGGCACACCAAGGAGGACGCCGGGATCTCTGGAGGTAGGTTACCTATAGAAGAAGGCAAAAATCATGACTCGAAAGATGTACACGAGCTCTTTCGCCCCTGGGAGTGCCACCCCAAGGTCGTTTGAAGCCGCTCCTCAAGGCGAAGCTCTAGGGAGTGCGAAGGGAAAGGGGGTGGCCAGACCATCTGGTGATGACCCCTCAAGGAGGCCATTGGAGTGTCCAAGGTCGATGTGGGACTTGTGCCGTGTCCGACCTCGGACCAAGGGTGATGAGTTTCAGGCCCTGCGCATGGCCGACATCCACGCGGGGGAGGCGGGGACCCCCTATGCCTCTCGGTGGGCAAATTGCCAGGCCAAAAATAAGATCTGGGCCGACGGGCTGATTGCTCAGGAGTTTACCCAAGGGGCACTCCATCTGGTGCTAGCAAAGGAGCTCTACTGCTCCTCCTCGAAGACGCTGATGGACTGGGCGGCGAAGTCATTCATCTAGGTGCGTAGTGGTGTTCTTCCCTTGTGTTGATTCTTCCTCCTGCGTATGGATTTTAACGTCGATATTTGTGTAGGGCCAGCATTATACCATGGTGCTGATCAATCACGTTTATGACGTCGGGAGGGTGATCGAGTGTCTATCGGATGCCAATTCCGGCCTTCGCTTGGAGGTCTTGGAGTTAAAGAGCAGATCCCGCCTGGAGGCCGTCGCCGCGGTCGAGCAGTGTGCCTCAGACCTGGGGGAGGAGGTGGATCATCTGAAAGCCGAGCTGGAGGAAAGTTGAGCCCGTGTTCGGACACTCGACGATGAGCTGCAGACCCTCTCCTAGGATGTCGAATTCGCCAAGTCTTCTGCTTGGGCTGCCGAGGAGGTTCTGAAGGAGGAGCGTCGGGCACTGCCCGAGAAGATCAAGGGGGCGACTGTCGAGTATAAGTCGTCTCCCGGGTTCGAGCGCGGCCTGGTGAGGTCAGGGCGGGTGGCATATGAGTTTGGGTATCAGGTTGCCTTTGCTCGCTTTCGTGTGAGGTACCCAGACCTAGAACTAGAGTCGGACCCCTTCGCCGACCAGTAGAAGGATCAGAATGTTTACATGTCAGCGAACATCCCTTTCGACGATGGGTCCAAGATTCCTCCCCCGAGCTAGGGTTGTAATATTTTCTCTTTTGCCTTGGTCGGGTCAAATTTTGATTTTGTATTGCCCGACCACAATATGTATTTTCCTTTTGATAAATGAAAATTGACTTTTCGGCATCTTGGACTTCTGCCTGGTTTTCTACCTTCATGGATAGAATCTTCTTAAATTTGTTGTGTTCCATGTCCTTGGTAGGGGATTCCCCTCCATGGTCTCGAGGTGGTATGTCCCTTCTCGGACCACATCGTAGACCCGATAGGGGCCCTCCTAGTTTGGCGCGAGCTTTCCCCTCGCTTGGGTCGGGTCACTTACCTCGACCTTTTGTTTCACCCGTTTTTGTTTCATCGGCCTAACCTCGGGATGGATGTTGAAGTGGTGTTGGGTCACCTCTAGGTCGATTATGGGCATCTCCTTGGAGGACCACGCAAACACATCAGCATTTGCCTTCGGGAAATCGATGAGCTGGAGCTGGTTTGCTTCAGGGAGTGTCGTCCTGACCTTCACGGTTAAATAGGATTGGTTCCTCTTCAAGGGCACCTCGGTGAGTTAGTCAGGGGGCTCGAGGTGCATTAGGGTCGCGGCTCCTTCACGGGGATCTGGGACTCGATAGGTGCATGACCTCTCCGGGAGAGTAACAGCTATAAGGTAGATTCTCCTGGATCTCTTCGGGATTCCTCGACTCCTACCAAAGTTGAAAATTTGATGGCCTGGTGGTAGGTGGAAACTACCGCTTTCAATTTGTTGAGGGCCGGGTGGTCGAGGATGACGTTGTAGGCCGAAGGTAGATCGACTACTGTGAATGTAGTCATTGTCATCTTGGCTTTTGGCTCTTCCCCGATAGTAACGAGGAGGACGGTGGTCTCGAGCAGGGAGATGGAATCTCTGGTGAATCCGGCGAGCGCCAAGTTCATGGGGGTGAGGTCTTCATTGCTTAAGCTGAGCTTCTTGAAGGTGTTAAGGTACAGCACGTTGGCAGAGCTCCCGGTGTCAATCATTACTGTTTTGACCCAAGCGTTGGCAATCCGGATGGAGATTACCAAAGCGTTGTCATGGTGGGAGTGCTCGACCTCCTCGGTTCCGAAGGTGATTTCTGGCTCGAACTTGGGTCGGGGGCGTTTCTCCACTGTGCTGTGGGCGTAGGCCTTCCTTGCTATCGAGTTGCTACCACCGGTAGTCGGTCCACCAGTAGTGACATCGATCTGCCTCTCAAAAGGTCCCTTGGGGCTTGGAGTTGCTTCTCCTAGTTCCTTGAGGTAGCGCCTGAGGTGACCTCTTCGGATTAGCTCATTGATTTGATTTTGAAGGTCATGGCAGTCCTCTGTGTCATGGACATAGTCCCGATGGAACCTACAATATTTAGATCGATCCTTGTGAGTAGCCTTTAGGGGATTTAGTTGTCGTAAGAGACCTTTTTCCCTGATCTGGAGAAAGATCTTGGTACAAGATGTGTTCCGAGGCAGAGCTGGGGGCCTTGGGAGTGACAGCTCCATTCGATCGGGTCTCCTATAAGACTGCGTTGGTGGCACCGAAACTAGTCCTTAGGCCGGCTCCATCCTCGACCTTTTGTTATCTTCACACGTCCCTACCATTAGGGCTTCGACAGCGATGTATTGGTTGGCACATTGTAGCATCTCGAGGATGGTTGCGGGCGGCTTCTCAATCAATGACCAGAAGAACTTCGAGGGTCTCAGGCCCATCAGAAATGCCTGCATGATCAGAGAAGGGTGAGCATCCAAGAATCCCCATATTTCAGTGGCAAAACGTGTCACAAATTTGGAGAGTGATTCATCTTTGCGTTGGGATAATGCGAGCAAGGTGGCGATGGAAGGCTTGGGCCGCACGTTGGCCAAGAAGTTTTGCTCGAACTCTCTTGCCAGCTGGTCAAAGGATGAGACCGAGAATGAGCGCAGCCGGCTGAACTATGCTCGCATCGATCCTCTGAAGGTAGTTGGGAATGCTCGACACATCAAGGCATCAGAGGTGCCATAGAAGGCCATCTGAGCCTGGAACGGAATGATGTGCTCTGCAGGGTCAGAGCCGCCATCGTACGTTTCCAATGCTGGTAGCCTGAAGTTAAGTGGCACAGGCTTGTCCTGTATTTCTTGAGCAAAGGGGGATCCACCTGAGTTGCCTTTGCCCGTCTCGCCTCGCGACTTCTGGATTTCACGTTGGAACTCATCCAAGCATCGGTTGACCGCGGATAGTTGGATTATGAATGAGTCATCCACTGAGTCTGATGATATGGTATTAGGTTTAGGGCACGGGCATGCTTTGCTCGGGTAGGCCTCTCGGGTTTATTGTCTACTCTCGGGCTTCTCCCATCCCGAGTTGCTCCCTACTCGGCCTTTGCTGCATCGGGTCGGTCGGGGAAGCTGCTAGTTGCACAATCTATGGCATGAGCGGGATGATCATCTGCATCATTCCCACCAAGGCTTGCACTTGCTTGGCTAAGCCGAGGAACGCCTCGGGCGACACGATCGAGGGTCCCGTGGTATATCCGGGGGGAGAAAACCCCGGATCATTGAATAGTCTCCAGTAACGATTTGGCATCAAGGCTGGGATCCCCCTGTCTCTGAGGACAGGGAGGGGCTAGTCCCCAAGTCCGGAAGGGGGCTGACTAGCTAATGGCTCACCCTCAACGAGAACTCCTACGGGACGCTCCTGCGACATGGCCCTCATTCTAACGTCGAAAATGTTGATGAACTGACGTACCGTGGCTGGTGAGTCAACACGGCCTGGTCCACGGGTCGATGTCGGGAGTCAAAGATCGGCTTGACGAGTCACCAAAGTTGATCGATCGCGGGTCGGGTTGATGATCGTCTCCTGGTTAGGATGGTAGTGGGTCGAGACGTCTGATCTCCCGGTCGGAAATCCTTGAGCGTTGGCCAGGTTATTGGTGCCACTTGGGGAAGATGCCTCTTGATTAGGATAATCGTGTCTCGGACTGGCCGCTCTCCTGCACACAAGGCTCTCGTCGGGTGGTTTCGACTTTGGCTCCTCGACGAGTAAGTTAGTGTTCAGTTCTCTGTTTTTTGCCTCTCCCAAGCTAGATGTCGGTCAGGGGTTTTTTATACCACCGCTTGAGAGTAGGTCGTATGCGGATTTGGCGTGGTGGTCGATCCTTGAGGGGAGAGAAGGTACCTTTGTGCGACCGTCATCTTGTGACGCACGGAACAGCACTAGTCGGCGCCGTCCTAGGACGCACAGAGCGGCACCAGTCAGCGTCATCCTAGGGCGCACGGAACAACGCCAGTCGACGTCGTCCCATGCTTTTCGGGACATATTGAGGAACAACGCAGATCATGGTTTAGTGCATGGGAGTGCTCTTCTTGACCTGGCAATATCATTGACTATGATGTGATCAAAGTCCAAAATATACCTTATCACTTTGTCTCATTTCTCTATTGTCAATGACCTAAAAGTAATCGTGGCAACTACTTGTTTTCGTCTTCCCATACATTAATAACCAAAGAAAATACTAATCGTAAATATTGTGTCAATATCAATTTTTTTTTCTTTTTCCTTTCCTTTTGATAGGGCATATTTTGACGCAACTGTGTGGTAACGAGCAGCAGCCACCTCATGACCGACGTGATGCACGCGTGCTGACAAAGTACCTTGGAACTTAGGGTGGCAAAAGTCATACCCATGTTGCTTGGATCTATTCGATGCAACGCTGTCCTACCTTAAGCCATCCGCGATGATACAAGGCGGTGTCGCAAAGCGTAGAGCTGTGCATGTCGATCCGTGCCGCGCGGAAAGCATGGGTCAACCTCCCAAGATATCGTAGATCATTAACAAGCCTCATACAATCGTTCCTCCAACAAACAGGCATAAAAGCCAATCCTCTTCCCACCAAAAAGGGGAGCACACCTATATACCACATTGAACTAACTTAAACTTCGAAATTGTTGAATCGGAAATCTCCCTCCCGACGTTGATCTTTCTTGACAAGAAGGAACGACAATCGAAGGCCCGCCTCTACCCGATCAGTGAGATGCTCCCTGACTCATGTGGGCCCATGTCGACTCCTCATGTTAAGTTCCACAACACCTTTTTCACATCAAATTGTTTGCCAAAGTCATCTAAACTCAGTTGCAAGTTTGATTTCCTCAACTTCTTCCTTACTGATAATTAAGTTCTTGATATAGTAAATTATGATAGTTTGATGTGTCTAGAGATTCGAAACCAATCTAAATTTAATGTTTAAATCTATCACAAATCTGAGTGCCGGAATATACTCGAGCCCGACCAAATTTTCTTTAAGATTACATCAGGTGTGCATCCAATAAAGATATTTTTTTCTGATACTTAAATTAGTAAAAACAAATTTAACAATTTAAAAATATTATTAGTAAAAATAGGATATTATAAAGGTCTTTTTTATGATGATTTTCGGCAATAATTAGAAGAAAGTGAAAAATAATTATGTGAAATCTTCGTACTATCTATCGGATCCAACCAACAACCGACACCGAACAAACAACAAGGTCGTATCCTATCACGTCGTTGACTTGGTTGCGGTCGTCCTCGTCCTTATCTTCCCGAGTTCTGGCCAACCCTATCCCCCTCGTGACGTCGATTCATCCTTGGAAGCACGTCCTTTGCTTAGCGATAAGACCACCAAGGCATATGTAGTAACGTAGGTACCAGTTTAATTATCATACGGTACACTTGCACGGAATCAGCGCTCTAATGCGAGCCTACTCTTTCCCGCTCCAGTGGGGCCGGAGATCACGATGACTCTGTTCTTCTTCGTCGAACCGGAGACGGAGCAAGTAGCCCTCAATGTGTTCGACGGTGGGAACCGAGCCGTCGGGGTTAGTCTCAGAGGTGAACAGAGAGGAAGATTCATCTGCAAGCTCGATGCCGGCCTCGTGCTCGTTCTTGTAACTGGAAGAACGTCTGCAGTATATTAGACAGGAAATCTTTTCACACCATTGAGCACCGAAGGGTGGTCTGCACATCAGACACTATCATATTACCAACTTCAAATCAAAGAAATATGAGAAATTGCATCAAAAATTCAACCGAAAAAAGGGACTCATGGCATGTTAGAAGAGGCGAGGGAGGTCCATCCATAAGAAAAAGCCTAAAGATAGGTCACCCTCCGGCGAGAGGGACAGGAAATAAAAAGGAAGAGGTTCGACGGACAGGCATTTCATCGAATTCTTGGTGCGCACCTATTCGTCGGATCATATCGCCTTCTCCGGTACCGCGCGGTAGGGTTTTGGGAACCCAACCCTATCCGTAAGCCAGGCGGCGAACTGGAGAAGCGAAGAAGAGCGCTCCAAAAGGGTGATGCACGTCGCAGCAAAATTACGAACCCAACACCGACTCGACTTCAACGGTGTCAACTCGAACCGCATCCTTCTTTAGATTTCTCTGATCTTTTAAACCTGCGGGACGACCAAACTCACCCTTTTGCCTTCTCGAACTAAGGAGAGCATGAGATGCGGCCCCGCGTCGGCCCCACGCATATCAATCGATCGACACACCGGTAAACGATTCGGGTGAGAGATTTGTGTGTGCCGGCTCGGGACCGAGCTCCGCAAACTAAATTGGGTCGAGTTTGTGGGTCGGTGGCCTACAAACCCAACCCATCACAACTGAACTAATCTTTGTTAGGTACTTATTGATCACGATCGATCAGATTTCAACACGTGGAACTCAATCGATCAATCTTGCCATGTCAGCATGAATTAAAGGAAAAATATATATTTGTTCGATTATCTTAATTTGTACTTCGGATTCATGACATGATGAGAATTTACTTTTTAAGTATTTTATACTTAAAATACCCATGTTGCTTGGATCTATTCGATGCAACGCTGTCCTACCTTAAGCCATCCGCGATGATACAAGGCGGTGTCGCAAAGCGTAGAGCTGTGCATGTGGATCCGTGTCACGCGGAAAGCATGGGTCAACCTCCCAAGATATCGTAGATTGTTAACAAGCCTCGTACAATCGTTCCTCTGACAAATAGGTATAAAAGATAATCCTCTTCTCACTAACAAGAGGAGCATACCTATATATAACATCGAGCTGACTTAAACTTTAAATGGGTGAAATCAGAAATCCCTCTCTCAATGTTGACCTTTCTTGATAGAGAGGAGTAGCAATCGTAGGCCTGTCTCAAGTCGAGAGATGCTCCTCGACCCATTTTGGTTCCTCCGTCACATCACCCGATCCTCATGTGAGCCCATGTCAACTCCTCAACGTTAAATTCCGCAACACCTTTTCACATCATCTAAACTCTGTTACAAGTTTGATTTCCTCAACTTCTTCTTTACTGATAATCAAATCAAGTTCTTGATATAGTAAATTATGATTGTTTGATGTGTGTAGAGATTCAAAATCAATCAAAATTTAATGTTTAAATCTATCACAAATCTGGGTGCCGGAATATACTGGAGCCCGACAAAATTTGCCGTAAGATTACATCATTTGTGCATCCAATAAAGATATTTTTTCTGATACTTAATTTTTTTAAAAAAAAGTTTAACAATTTAAAATATTATTAGTAAAAAGTAAAAATAGGATATTATATAGGTCTTTTTATGATAATTTTCGGCAATAATCAGAAGAAAGTGAAAAATAGTTATGTGAAATCTTCGTGCTATCTATTGGATCCAACAAACAAACAAACAAGGCGGTATCCTATCACGTCATTTACTTGGTGACGTTCGTCCTCGTCCTTATCTTCCCGAGTTCTGGGCCCCACGGCGAAGGGGGAAGTACATCTATCTTCCAACCCTGTCCCCCTCGTGACGTCGATTCAGCTAATCTTCTCGAGTTCTGGCCCCCACAGCGAAGGGGAAGTGCTTCGGTGACGTGGATTCATCCTCGGACGTACGTCCTTTCCTTGAGCGATAAGGCCACGGAGACAAATGCAATAATGCAGGAATAAGTTTAATTATCATACGGTCAACATCAAGCATACAAACAACGTCTAGTGGACCACTTCCAGGGCCCCACCCCTGTTGAAATCTAATCCCCGGAAGACCGATTGTGTTTGACCAATAAAATGTTGATTTGCCTTAAAAGATTACCCGTGAGTTCTGCGCCCACCTGTCTGGTGAATGGAGGACGAGATGGAGCCGCCGTCGCCTCCGATCATAAGAAGCTAGCCGTCAGGTTCACGGATGTGTGGGTAGATGGAGTAATTGCTCTGCGAGGCCGACTCGGTCCGAGTCGTGGACTACATTCGACTCGGCCGAGCGGCGGAGCCCATCTTCTTGGCTATCTCCCTCAGCACGTACTTCTGTATCTTCCCCGTCGACGTCTTCGGCAGCTCCGCCCGGAGCACCACCGTCTTCGGCACCATGTAGCGCGGCATGCGCTCTCGGCACCACGCGATCACCTCGCTCTCCGTCGGTGGCGCCGCCGACGCTTCCTCCTTCAGGCTGACGAACGCGCACGGCGTCTCCCCCCAGAACTCGTCCGGTCGCGCCACCACCGCCGCCTCGTTCACCGCTGGGTGGCCGTACAGGATGGACTCCACCTCCACGCTGCTC